CTTTCTTGCACATGAACGTCATCTCTTCTTATTCGCTCCTCGTCTTTCTTCGCTGCATATAAATATGCATTTGACTCGTAATTCATTCCCATCTCTTGTAATATTTTTAATAATGAAGAAGTGCCTTCATTAAAAATGCAAGTTGCAACATAAGCTGCAAATTCTACACCATGTGATCCACTATGATAAACTTTTTTCCAAATGAGTTGATTGAAGCTCTCATTGTTATTTTGAATGAATCCCCCGATGCATCTTTTCAATAAAGTGTCGCAACTGAGATCTTCATAGATGGGTTTTATTGCTTCTAATACATGTGCAGGAAGAGCATTATAATCATGCTTGAATGAATCAAGCTCGCCGTTCATAAAGGCGAGCTCCAATTCACTCGCACTTTTCGGCGGTTTTCGTTTTTTATTTCTTGATAATCGAACATTTTCAGTTACTCTTAACATTCTTGAACCTTTGGTATCATTATAATAATATTATATCAAATACGATAATATAATATCAGTACAAGCGAAGGCAACGAAAATAACTGTTTTGCTCTACAGCACAAAACGAACTGCTTACGTTTTAAAGATTATAATCGTTGCCTGGAATACTGATCATATTTCACTAATACAAGTCTACAGGAACCTTCGTATTTACTAATACAAGTATAAAATCTTCGCACAATACAAAAGAGGATCTCACAAAAGAAGCCTTGCAGCTACCGCATTTACCTGTTTTGAGCGAGCAATCAGAGGCTAGTTCTTTGAGCGCGCAACACAAACGCCTTTAACTTTGTCAATTTTATTCAGATTGACTTGAAATTTTCAGAAAATATTTTTAAGATATTATATTTTAAGAAAATGTTAAAACCCAAAAATCGAATTTTTTGAAATTTCTAGGTAGGCTTCCCTTCTTAATAAGTGTGACTTGGCCGCTGGAAGGGGGGAGGCGAAACGTTGTCCGAACTTCCCTCGATGGCGGGCGACCGTCACAGGCACTTGGTTCGTTACACTAATTATCACTCACGTAAACTCGCGTCACGGCATTCCCGCGACGCTTGCTTGACTCGCCCGTCGTTCGCACGACGACGGAGATGACGGCTTTACAAAAGAATGCTCGGCTCACCAACTACGCTGGCTATGGTCTCGGCAGGTTGACGACTCTCGGATTCACGTCCGTTCAGTATGAGCGCACCACGATAAGTGATCACTCGCGCCCTCACGGAACACACGCAGGCGATCGTCGTCTACCTCTCGCAATTTTCTATTGGCCGAAAATCGGCTAATCGCGTGGCCCTAATCGACCGCGCACCTAGTGATGCTAATTTCAAGACGAGAGTCATGAGAGAGCCAGGGAGTGGGGATGCCGCACACAACGAGAAAGCATGTGAGTTCGGAAGTTCCGGCATTGGGCTAGTAATAGACGAGGCTAGTAAGTCCTAGTAAGTCCTAGTAAGTCCTGACTCTTTCGCTCTTTATTCTTACAACTAGCCTGCTCATTCGGCAATTCTGACTTCTAACTATCGAAACGATCGCGCTTTATGATATAGATTACGTTCGCTTTAGCGCTTACAGCTGTAAGCATTATATCAGTAACATTGACATACAATGTTCATTATATTAAATAAAAAATGGAAATTATATTTATTAGAAGGAGTTATACCTGTAATTAGAAAATAATAAAGAATAAATATAATAGAAGATAGAAAAATTAGAAAAATAAAAATTTTATTATATTTTTTATATCTTTTGGTACTTTTTTGTATTTTTTATATTTTTTAATTTTATTTTTTATTATATTTTTTATCACATTTATCTTTGTAACAAGTGCAATATATTCATATTGAAACAAGATAAAGTCTTGTGCAAGTGCAATGTTCTTTATAGATATTGTATATTATTTATTTAAATTTAACTTAATGAGTTAATGCATTTGATAAAACACAAGCAATTATCCTTTTTGTATATTATTGTTGCATATTAGACGAAGATGGACTAGCAATATCATCTGCAGCATGTAGCTGAAAACTTTACATTTGCTTTACCGAAGAAGTAACATATAATTTATCTGTCGACATAAGAGATAAATACTTTTCATCGAGTTTCATGTTTAAAGCAGTTTCGTTTCTTGCTTTTAATGCTGACTTCAATACACAAATGATATTTACAGTAGTGGACGATAATCTGTTTCGTTTTTTCGTTTTAACATCTGTTAAGAGGGAAAATATTCTTTCCGGAGCTGCATTTGAATTTGGAGTGCTCTAATAGAATTCAAGAGGGATCTTAAATTGAGATATTTGGTTTCATTATTTAAATATTGTCTTTGTAAAATCTCCTTTCACGTATTATTAAAATTTAATTTTAACAAATCTTGTTTCTCTGTTACTGAAAAATCTGAATTTAAGGCAAATCATTCTTTCTTTAAATCGTTTTCGTCAAAATCACCTATTCTTGCAACGATAAAAGAAAGATCATGGAATGCTGTTTCCCTATCAGTACTCAATAAAGCTATATGTGAAAGAATTTGTAATTTTGATAAAAATATATTACTGGTAATCTTTTGGAAATTTCTTCGGCTGCAGTTATGTAAAATCGCAAACAATTCTCTCGAACAGTTGCAATCATGTTTGCGTGTCCATCAATTGAAGATATTCTTCGCACTCCGATTCTAAAAAATATCATTTGAAGATTTGTGATTTTCTATCTCATAAAATGTTATATTTAGCAAATGTTTCAGAATTTCTGATTTTAAAATTTGTACAAATTTCTTTTAAAAAATCAATTGGTTTTGGCTGTAATAGATATATCCTCGTTTCTTCAATTTGGAAAAATGTATTAAATACATTTAAAAATATAATGTATATTTAAAAATAGCAAATATGCTTTTGTATCTACATTTTGCATGACACGCAACAAATTTTGATGCATTGATATGATAATGTCAATACATTATTGCACATCTCTTCCAATTTTTTCTTGAAATATAAATGTTTTCCGATCATAATGAACGCATTGTCGCATGACAAGGCCACATTTGAAAAAGGTATTTATAATTTCCACATTTCATATTTAAATGCATTAAACAATTTTTCCGCGCTGCAATCTGTTGCATCGATATCAGTTAATTTTACTAGTTGCGAATGAACTTCTAATGTTTCAATATGAATGTATCGAACATCCATTTTTTATTAGAAATCTGTTGATTCATCTATAGAAATAGAAAATTTTGTATTTTGAATATTTTCTATCACACTATCCGTCTCAACTGGACATAAAACGTTTGTAATTATATTCGTACATTTCTGTTTTCAACTCATAGTCATGCTTTTCATAGTCCATGCCATTCTGCTTCATTAGCTTCGCATGCCGCGTGTGCTAAAATACCTCAAGCTTGTGAGGAATTCTTGAAAAGAATTACAAGCAATATAACTTGTAGTCCCAAGCGATGCTCTATTTTCACCGAATTAATGAATGTTTTGAAGAAAGGACTCACAAAATTGTAAAGTTATGTAATACATGATGGCTCACCACACGTGTATCGACAGATTTCTTCAATCTTGGAACACGATACAATATTTTTTGAATGAAATGATTGTGAGCGAGAAAGGTATCTGCAGAAACTTTCTTGCGTGTTATGCAAAATGTATTAATGTATGGTGTACAAAAAAGTTCTGAGCTTTTTTTTTGTAAAATTCAATCTTTATTCAAAAACAAACAAAAAAATATTAATCAGCAAAATATTCCCCGTTTGCATCAACGACCTTTTGCCATCTTTCGAGTAGCTTGTGAATTCCTTGACGATAAAAGCTCACCGGCTTCAAAGCGATAAAGTCATCAATGCATTTTCATATCTCTTCAAATCTCACGAAATGTATCAGCCAAATGATGCTGCAGCGACCGGAATAGGTAGTAATCGAAAGGCGCCATGTCTGGGCTATACGCCGCGTGCGGGAGAAGTTCCCAGCCTAACGCAAAGATATGGTCCTGAGTCGCTTTCGCAACATGTGGTCGCATTGTCATGAAGCAAGACGTCCTTTACCAACTTTACTATTTACATCATTTTACGACGTCCTTGGCCAGTAAATGGCCTCTTTTCTTCTAATGCATCGCTCAAATTGGTCAATTGTTGTTGGTAGCGGTCTGCCATGATTGTTTCACCCGGTTGTAACAACTCGTAATCCAACACATCTTTCCAATCCCACCAGATACAGAGCAAAACCTTCTTGGTGTGGATATTGGGCTTTGGCGTCGATGTCGAAGATCAGGGTCAATCCATGATTTTCTACGTTTAGGGTTATCATAAAGAATCCACTTTTCATCGCCTGTAATGATTTTGTGCAAAAAATCTTTTTTCCGGAACTTTGAAAGCAAAGTGAGTGCAGTGTCACGCCAACGATGTTTGTTGTCTTCGGACAATTCATGCGGAACCCATCTGCCTTCCTTCTGAACTTTTCCCATCGTATGTAAACGTACGGAAATGGTTTGCTGCGTAACGCCAAGCTGTTCTGCAAGCTCCTTGTCAGTTTGCGCAGAGTTTATATCCAACAGTGCTTGCAATTCGTCCGTTTCAATCTTTTGAGGGCGTCCAGCACGCGGTTCATCTTCACGACTGAAATCTCCTTGGTGAAATTTTTGATATCATCTTTTACATGTAGTATGACTTACAGCGTTCTCTCCATATACAGCACAAATCATTGCAGTGGCTTCAGCAGCATTTTCCTTCAGATGAAACGCGAAGTGGATGGAAAATCGAATATGCTCTTTCGTTATTGCCATTGTGAACACTACTGATTTTTGAGGTTATGTGCATCAAACGCCAAACCGTATGGCATTTTAGAAGGCCAAATGTCAACGCTTTAAAACCGCAAAAGGGCGGAAAGATATATAAAATTTAAATTGTTATTTCGGTTGTATGAAATCTAAAGCTCAGAACTTTTTGTACACCTAATAGATACAAAAGCATATTTGCTATTTTTTAAATATACATTACATTTTTTGTGTGTGTATTCAAATGTATTTATTGCATTTTTCCGAGTTGAGGAAACGAGGATACATCTCTTATAGCCAAAATCAATTGATTTTTTAAAAGAAATTTGTACAAATTTTATAAAATAAAAAATTCTGAAACATTTGCCAAATATAATATTTTGTGAGGTAGAAAATCATAAATCTTCAATTGATATTTTTTTAGGATCGGAATGCGAAGAATATATTCATCAATTGATAGACACGCAAACATGGTTGCAACTATTCGAGAGCAACTTCGAGAGAATTGTTTGCGATTTTACATAACTGCAGCTGAAGAAATTTCCAAAAGATTATCAATAAGTGATATATTTTTATCAAAATTACAAATTCTTTTACAACATATAGCTTTATTGAATACTGATAGGGAAACATTATTTCATAATTTTTCTTTTATCGTTGCATGAATAGATGGTTTTGACGAAAATGGTTTAAAGAAAGAATGGTTTGCCTTAAATTCAGATTTTTCAGTAACAGAGAAACAAGATTTGTTAAAATTAAATTTTGATAGTGAAAGGAGATCTTACAAAGACAATATTTAAATAATGAAACCAAATATCCCAATTTCAGATCCCTCTTGAATTCTATTAGAGCACTTCAAATTCAAATGCATCTCCGAAAAGAATATTTTCCCTCTTAACAGATATTAAAACAAAAAAACGAAACAGATTATCGTCGATTACTCTAAATGTCATTTGTGTATTGAAGTCAAGCATTAAAAGCAAGAAATGAAACTGCTTTAAACATGAAGTTCGATGAAAAATATTTATCTCTTATGTCGACAGATAAATTTATATGTTACTTCTTCGGTAAAGCAAAAGTAAAGTTTTCAGCTACATGCTGCAGATGATATTGCTAGTCCATCTTCGTCTAATATGCAACAATAATATACAAAAAAAATAATTGCTTGTGTTTCAAATGCATTAAAGCATTAAGTTAAATTTAAATAAATAGTATACAATATCTATAAAAACCGCATTTGCACAAGACTTTATCTTGTTTCAATATGAACATATTGCATTTGTTACAAAGATGCATATGTAAAAATTATAATAAAAAATAAAATTAAAAATATAAAAAATACAAAAAAGTACCAAAAGGTACAGAAGTACAAAATACAAGAAGTACGAAAAATATAATAAAATTTTTATTTTTCTAATTTTTCTATCTTCTATTATATCTATTCTTTATTATTTTCTAATTACAGATCTAACTCCTTTTATAACAGATATAATTTCCATTTTTTTTTAATATAACGAATATTGTATGTCAATGTTACTGATATAATGCTTACAGCTGTAAGCGCAAAAGCGAACGTAGCCTATATCGTAAAGCGCGATCGTTTCGATGGTCAAAAGTCAAAATCGCCGAACGTACAGGCTAGTTGTGAGAATAAAGAGCGAAAGAGTCAGGACTTGCTAGCCTTGTCTATTACCCGATGTCGGTCAAACTTCCGAACTCTCACGGACATGCGTTCTCGTTGTGTGTGGCATCCCCCTGACTCCTTCGTGACTCTCGTCTTGAAATTAGTATCACTGCGCGCACCGCGAAGTCCTCGCGGGAAATTCAAAAAGCGGCGGCATCTGCGACTATGTCCTTTGGCTTCTTGGCTCCTCCGGCTTTGAGATCCTCGCGTCTCATCCCGCCAATTCGATATCGCCGGCATCTTTCCGAGTCTCGCCGGAATGTTCCGTAACCGGGATTCTCCACGTTTTGTTCCGTGGCGCCTTCCCCGTCCTCGCCCCGCTCGCCTCTCGATCGGCAATGCCGACTTCATCAGCTGGAAAAGAAATTCATTTAACAGCGGCACTTTCAATCCCGCTGACGTAAATGCGAGAAGGATAATATGATCTGCGTGTTATAATGCTCTCACGTCGCTACTTCCTCAGCGGTTCTTTTGGCCTTGGCGTATTCGCCACGCTGATTCTCCATCGTTGGTGAGCGCAAAATACAGGCAGTAAGCAGCCGTCACTCCGCGTCCTGAAAATAATAATGTTGCATGCGATAACGGGCCCGCTGGCCAAACAACGACCGTCCGTTTTCCTCCCCCCATCGGAGAATGCGGATCCGAAACCGCGGATCACCTTTCCCGTGGTTGGGGCCTACGCCCCTTGTGACTGGCAGCTGTAAAGCGCCATGTCACAATATATATATATGTATATGTATATAAAATCATGAATATGTATGATTATATGTGGACAATGTTTTCTTATTTTTTCTAACTTAATTTTTTATAAAAGAAACAAAAATTATCCAAAAATTATCCAAAAATTATTCATTATTTTTTGTATATAAATTGTACATTAATAAAAATATACAATGTAAAATTATAAATTAATGAATTGTACAAATTCTATAACGTGCACCGTAAGCCGCGATTGCAGAAATTGAATTCGCATTATTATTTCTTATTTTTATAAGTTTTAGAATTTCAAGAAATTAAAATAAATTCGGAGTTAAGAATTATTTTAAAGATAAACAAAAAAATATTCTAAAACTTATAAAAATAAGAAATAATGATGCGAATTCAATTCCTGCAATCGCAGCTTACGGTGCACGTCATAGAATTTGTAAAAAATCAACAATACAGGAAAGGAAAGTTATTGCATGTA